AAAGGTAATACAAAGTTTTACGAATTTTGAAAATTGGGTGGATAGTGATTCTTTACAATTTGATATTTGAATGCCCCTGTGGATGGTATTATAAGCACTAGAAAACTTAGCCTCTAAAACACTTCTGCTTTCGAGAAAAATTGAATATAAATATTTACTGGTGCTCCCGGTAAATTTTGATAAATTCAAATGGTAGCTGCGACCATGAAAATCTCAGAATATGTAGATGTGATATATATCTTCCAAACGAGAATAGCAAATGGTCGATTTTAGTCAAGAAAAATTTATATCTTGACCTTGAGAGGAAGCTATACAACATAAAGAGTTTATTATTTACAATTTCATAATTTTAGACTCGATTACAACCGCGACAACGATCACTGAATATTGTAGGATCTCATATGCGTCCAATATGTTCATTGAACCAATTTATGACCCCATACTAAAACTGTGTATTACCTTTAAGTAGGGGACATAAAATGACCAAACAACTTTGACCAGAGAATATACTGGAAATAATGCTACTGAAACACACGTAATGTAGACTTATATTTCATCTATATTGACATTTAATTTTTAATCTAAATCACAATTGTGATATTCAGTCAATTATTCTTTACAAGTCAACTGACAATGAAAAATATCTTCGTCAGATCTATAATTTTCTGCATGACATGTGTTCCACAAAAGTTTATTGGGTACCTACATGTATATTAGCACACTTGCTTGTATGAAAGTGTAGTAGGCCCGCATCTCTAGATATGATCCGTCAATATCTCTTCTTTGTTCCTCTCTGAGTTTGTAAACGAGCATGCCTTCATCACCCACTGTAGAGAAGCATCATCCTACATGACAGAGAACAAAGTAGGTACTTCAATTTAAAACTGATACTAATGGATATTTAGAGATATGAATGTACGGTGAAAGTAGGGCGAATGTAAGTAGGGCGATGTAAGAGCCGCTACATTACTCCCCTGCCAGAATGAAGCTGTGTATGCAATACACAGATAAAAGGCGATAAAGATATAAATGAGCAAGTACAAAATGTCACAAGAATCAATGGCTGATAAATATGTAAAAGTGCATGTAGTATTGTATAGTGTATGCAGTAATTTACAACAGCCTAAGAAATGTACAAGCATGGCATGTTGAAAGAATGTAATACAACAAGCATGGACGGCTGTTTAGTTGCCATAAATAGACAGTAATGAATGACATGGTATGCATCGAATAAACGTGTAGAAATGCAAGAGCATAAAAAACAGTCGATACATAATCCAGAATGAAGACATTTTATAAAACATTGCTAAGTCCAAAAAGTCAGGGAATAATAAAATCGTACAACCAAGCTTCCAAGTAAACTCGGGGTCACCACTTTAGAGATATGAATGTACGGTGAAAGTAGGGCGAATGTAAGTAGGGCGAATGTAAGAGCCGCTACATATACATATCAACCATAATACATCTATAAACAGACTTTCATCTTATTTTGTGTTCTTCTTCATCTCATTGCTCAAGAAGTGAAAGGAGCCCTTACAAAAAAGTAATGAGGGGTCCTGTGTTTACCCTACATGTAGTGCTTTGGATGTGGATTAGATATGGCTCTTCTACACACAGGCCCGCCCCCCCCCCCCACTCAGGGGTCGGCAGGACCGCATGCGTATTCCCAAAATGTCCAGTAAAGTGGTAGTTTTCACGAAGTCTGGCTCATAGTACACAAAAATCCGGCCCGTATTGACTTTACACCAGACTTAGGGGGGTGTTTTCAAAAGGAGGGAACACGCATACGCATACCCCAAATAAATAACACTGAGTGGGGGGGGGGGGGGGGGGCACACAGGACCTCCTTTAAATAAGGACACATTTTCCTTTGTAAACCAAAAAAATTAAAGACATCAATATTTCTCTTTCCTTATCTTCTTCTCAACCCCACATGCAGCTCATCATTTAGTATTTTTTTCTGTACCCTCGATCTCTCACTTCTTTTTGTCATTGTCTACTCTTTGTATAATTATGACCATGTTCTTCTATCTTTGTCGTGTAAAGTATTGTCTTGTCCCTTTCTCGTCTCTGTTGGCATCCCCATTTTTCTTTCCCCTATTTTGTAGTTCCTTTTGTCATTACAGATTAGTAAATTTAATTACTCATTATTCCTAAGTTTCATTTGAGGTGTTCACACTTGTACAAGCATTGCTTTTTAGTGGACCCCTCTGTTTCCAACATGTGTTTCTTAAATTTGTTTTAAATGCTTATAATTATTTGTAATGTTTTGTTGAAAATGTGAATAAATTTGAAATTGAAATTGAAATTGTATGCTAGGTGCAGAACTAGAATAAAATATACCCTCCACTATATACGCTAATAATAATAATAATAATAAAAATGTTACTTATAAAGCGCTCACCACCGAAGTCTCTAAGCGCTATAATTGCAAATATGGATAATATATAAAACATAAGGTATGCAAACAATATACAAAATATAGAAACAAATGCATAATACATGAGTACGGTAAGAGTAAATTTGTACGTTGGGCCATTGCGTGTATAATTGCAAATTTGAAATTTAGTGTGCTGAAATTTGAAAATCGTGCCGGCCAATATTTTGCTCAGTGGGGGGGGGGGGGGGGGGGGGGGGGGGGTAGTGAGTACCTCGACAGAGTCCACGTCTAGAAGAAGGGTCTACTAAAGATTTTAACAAGAATTAACCCACTTGGATTATTAAAGAAATCATACTTCATAGATTATTTCAAGGTGTACGTTAAATCTAGATTTAAATTCAATCAATGATTGATGAATTAGATTCATGATGACGATCAAATTTGCAGATGAGCACCGCAATTCCACAGGGTGGGCCTGCCGGAACCCCGGGCCCTAACTGGGTGACATGACGGCAAACCGCAGTCAAACTACTTCACGACGATGAAAATCAAAGTGCAATTTGAAGAGAAATATTTCCCTAGCCTTTTCCCCAAATATCTGTTGAGAACAGTCTCATAATGAAAAGAAATTACCGAAGATCACGAAAACTATTACAAATTTTTCAAAATTAATCACTAAATTCACTAAATCTACTCATATTGCAATCAATTACTCACCCATTCTCCGACTTTGTCGATATCGTCGCGACGCGTTGTTGTCAGCTAGCTAGCTAGGCGCAGGCGATACGTATATCGTACACACAAATCATACATATTACGGTGACGTCATGACTAGTCTTAGTAACAAGCGCTTGAAATTATAAAAATATTGATTAAACACTCACGTCACGTTTTGGAAGACGTGATCATTCGTGTTTTACCGGCGTGGAAACCAACGAATGGTAGACCCTACACTTCGTAAATTAGAGTCACCTATTTTACGAAACAGCGCAAACGTGATACGTGATCACGTGATACGTGAACGTGAGTGTTCGTTGCAAGCCACATCGTTGTGACACGATTGCATTTCTAGTATTCTCCTTTTCCTTATCCTTATCCTTATCGTCCGAAAATCCCATTCGTTTTGCACGTAGTGCTTGTCATTCCTAGTTAGGTGCTTTCCTCTTGTCCATTTCCTTTCAAATTTCATAGGCATAGTCTCTAACATCTCATCAAGGTCACTACATTCTTCGATTTTCGAAATCACTCATGCATCACCGTCCAGGCGCTATTTTGTCCGTTTCTGGTCCATTTTAAGGCCTTTCTTTCTTCCTTCCAATCTCCACTATCCTAGATCCTACAAACTTCTAACAAATTCCTCTAGATAGTCTAAGGGGTGTTCTTTCATCTGCGACGAATAACCTGACCTTCAAAATGCAATCTTCGTACTCAAAATTCAAATCTGAAACCGAATCCGTCAAAAATCTCTCAAATTCTTGAAAAATGGACCCCTAAATAATCTAAAACTGCCATAATTTTCTCATATAAATTCCGTTTTGTATTTAAATCTTACAGTATCTTAATTTCATAAATGCACATAGCCCTGCCAAATTTCACGCTCCAATGGCTTTGCAAAACATAAATAGCGCCCTCTAAAGTTCTGGGAATTGGCTGTCTTTCTGTGGCCGTATCTCTATTATGGCTTGGCAGACCCGTACCCTTTTTTGGATTTAGACACTTGAACATATGCCCTTTCCAGCCATATACAAAATTATGTTGCCTAACACTGACCGACTTTGCGAAAAATGCCCTCCAAATATGCAGTTTTCAAGAAAATTGAGAAATAACTTCAACTTGCTCTAAACTGACGATCCTTATACGTAGGTCAATGAAACTTGGCAGACACATGTATCCATATATGTGACAACTGTCTGCAAAGTTTGGTAAAATTTGAATATGTCAGCGCAAAGTTATCGCCAAAAATGATGAATTTACTATGCATTACGTAATAGCGCGTTTAATGCGTGCAATACATTGCGCGCAGATAACAATGGTATCAAACTGACCGCAATGAAGTGCCCTTTCGAATGATCCCAAGTATGGTATATGTTCACATAGAAAATTTTGAGTAAATCACATTTGAATAAGGGTCACTATACGCTTTCCGCCCAATATTATAACACGTATCGGCTAAGACGGCATTTCTCAGACTTTTTTTCGCCCCCTAAACATCCTTTTTTTTTCTTAAAATTTTGCAGTGACATTTAGAGTTGCAGTACGCAGGGCACCTCGTGGCCGGATTTTTGAAATTGGTCGAGGGGGTCATTAAAGACGCCATTTTGTACTATAAATCTATTTTACATCACGTGTTTCGATTGGTTTCTCATAGAAAAAAGAGAGTGGTTTACAATAACAACCATGAAATTCTCTTTCCAATGATACCAAATACTGCCCATTAAGAGACATCAAGAGAGAGAGAAAAAACAATTTAACTCCGGTCATAATACAGATCCTGTACGTTTTCCGCCCATGCATTACACGCATTGTCTATGGGACATATCGGGTTCACGCTTTTGGCTCCCAGAACGATCTATATTGCAATGACGAACATGCACCAAATCCCGTTGGTTTTTGCACGCATTGCTTGCGAGCCCTTTCTACGTTCTTTCCCTATCCCAATTCAGTCAGTCCGCAACGCCCGCGATAATTAGGCAGAATGACCAAATTTATACAGCACCCGGAAGTGCGATAAACCGTCGTATTTCGTGTCCCGCGATTTGCGAGATTTCGTGAGACTTTTGCACAGGTCAACAAACTTTATCACAGCTGCTTTGCCTTTCACTGTGCTGCGTAACATGTAGGGGTAAGTGTATCTCCATACTTTTCTACGTATTTTGATATGAAATTTTCCTAATTTTACCGCATCTGAGTGATTGTAAATAGTCATTGAAATGTGTCCAATTTTCCTTCTTTCGTAGGAGGTATTCTGACATTATCTTGCATTTAGCGTGTTCCTGACCGATATAAGAGATGTTTTTCCCCAATTCTTCGATTTTTCACAAAAACAATGTTGGCAGAAGTGAAAAGTGCAGAGTTCGATTGATGCACGATGTATTTTATTAGCTTTTATGGCCATGAAAGTTACACATTTTTCGATTTTCAACCGGAAGTTGTGTGACGGCTACGCTAAAAACACTCATTTTTGCCGATATGGCGCGAAAAGTGTACGTTTGGCCAACATGGCCGCACTTTCGTATTCATCACCGTGACCGCGTACCAGTCCCATACATAGCCTTTTCTGTACCGATCCGACATAAAACAAAGCCATATTTGATCTGGGGCCCTCGACTTACAATTACATCATGTACTATCCCATTAAATTAGCAAGATTTCTTGATAATATTTATGCTTAATCCATTTTATTTTGACACAAATTTAACAGTCAGCTGTGAGAGTTAAACAGTGACTCTGGCGTCTGGTCAGACTCGGATAATTATATTATTAATTTAGGGATTCTCAAACTTTGGTTGTGCCTTTTGTTTTGGTTCTGGTCAACTCAAACTTTACAACCAGCCATAGAAATAAGCAGCATTTCCCTTGTGCGATTAATGTGAACAAAGGAGAATTATAACAAAAATCCAAAGTTAAACACTTACATTTTAACTTGTGCACATGTGGAAAAATGAAGGGAAAATTTCATGAATTTGACACCTGTAATTTGTTTTCATTACTAAAAATTAATTTGAATGCGAGCGGGTTTTGTCTACCATAAATGGCTAGCTACTTTGATCAGATCTTTTAAATCCCCATACCTGAACTAAGCCATTTTATATTCCTTTTTATCATTTGTCATTTGCCAGGACCGAAGCATACAAGAACAGCTCCTAAATCCTCGTACCATTACGCAATGGGATCAACTACCAGCCACCATCATCAAAGAGTCAACATCGGCCAAGTCTTTCCATACCAAAGTTTGGAGCTACATGCAGATTGACCACTCAGCGCAGCTGTACACAGGCGGGCTAGAGCGTTGATGTGGCTCTACTTCATCTAAAAATTAGATGATGTCTGCAACCCACTGTATTTTTATGAGCACCTTTTTATTTTGACTTTTGAACTCTGCACCCTCAGTTGTGATGTTTGTTGACAGTTTGCGATGCCACGGAAGTCTGGACATATATACCAATTGGTCCTGTCCAGTACCACCTTAGATGTAGATGTAGATGTTGTTGTTTTTCTGACAGATGTACTCAACCATCGAAACTTGCGGAACATTGACAACAAATCTTCTAAGACACAGACTTCACACATCAGTCTCCATTGCATTCCTGGATCATCATTTGCTGGACTTCACATAGGAACAAGCAATCTTGAAAGGGGAGTTTGGGAGAAGGACGAGAAGGATTTTGTTCAGCTTATATTTTCAGTAAAAGGAAAATCCATTTCAAGTGATTACATTTTTGTATCTCTGATACTTCGAAGGTGGGATTCCGGAGCTTTACGTGAACAAAGCATTTATTATAATAAAAAACTGATTGAACTGTCACCGTTATACAATTTAAACATGTTTTACTCTGATAATACTTTTATTCTCAGCGACATATTTTATGCAAGTAATGGTCTCAAGTTCTCAACATACATGTCAAAGTCAGTTTATATTATAAATAAAATATGAATATTATAAAATCGAAATGTTATTCCTAGTCCTATTTCATTTATAATTATTTATCATTAGTAGTAGTGTTAATAATATATTTTTTGTTTAACCGGCTATGGTGAAAATGATGACGGTGATTACGATGACGATGGCGATGATCATGATGGCTATGGTGATGACGGTGATGGCGATGATCATGATGGCTACATGTATGGTGATAATGCTGACAGTGATTATGATGATGGCGATGATCATGATGGCAATGGTGATAATGCTGACTGTGATGATGGTGATGGCTATGGTGATAATGCTGATGGTGATTATGATGATGGTGATGGCGATGATCATGGTGACGGTGATTATGATGATGGTGATGCTAATAGTGGTGATCATGATGGTGATAATGATGATGATTGTGATGGCGATGATGACTTTGATGATTGTGATAATGATGTTGAAGGTGAAAATTAGAATATTATTAATTTCATTTGCACCCTTTCAACCCACCACACATTAAAATTTATATCGATGGTCATTACCATATAAACAAAAACAGAAAATAAATGATCATATATATTTTGCGGGTCACTATAAAACAAAATCAAACAGAAAAGTGAATAAGGGAAAGAATTTCGTAATTATTTTATTTCTAAAAATACACATGAACTGGAGTTACATAAATTGACAAAAGAACCATCAAATAAAATATTACCATCAAAGAATGCCTGGGGATTACCAAAATAAATAAATGTTTAAGGCTCTTCTCATTAGTCCATGGTTTACAATTTAAATAAAAACACATTTCATAACTTTTACAACCAACCGCCTGCAATAAAACCATGAAATTTATCAGCAGGGATGGGAACAATCATATTTTCATTTTTTTCAATCACAATACCAATGCCAATCGCATCTCCCAACCCCCCCCCCCCCGAAAGTTTGTATTTTCACAAATAAACATTTGAGAAAGAAAATGTGTCTTCTTTGTTAAAACGATATCAAAGCCTGGCCAAAAATAGCACATAAAGACACTTAAACCTCCCCACTGTCCCCTATTCATTCTAGAGCTGGTATTCTATAGTGTACTTGATTGTACTTGAGTACGTATCCGCATCCAACTTGTACTCTCTGTAGACTTCTATTATTAAGTAGCGCATGAGTATAATACACAACTAGAAATGCAATCGTGTCAGAACGATGTGCGTGCAATGACGCCGTGTTTCTACGTGTCAAACGAAAGAGCTTCTCTCGGACTATCCAGATTTGCACGAAGTCTGTAGCTTCTGTGATATTGGAGATAGGTAGGGCGAAAGAAAGGCATCAACAGTGACCTTGATGGGATGGTACTATGCCTACGAAGTTTGAAAGAAATTGGGATAGGGGAAAGAACCTAGAAAGGGCTCGCAAGCACTGCGTGCACAAACCAATGGGATTTGGTGCATGTTTGACATTGCAATCAAGTTCGTTTTGGGGGCCAAAAGCGTGAACCCGATATGCCCCATAGACAATGCGTGTAATGAATGGGCGGAAAACGTGCAGGATCTGTATTATGGCCGGAGTTAAATTGTTTTTCTCTCTCTCTTTACGTCTCTTTATGGGCCGTATTTGGTATCATTAGAAAGAGAATTTCATGGTTGTTATTGTAAACCACTCTCTTTTTTTCTATGATAATCCTATCGAAACACGTGATGTAAAATAAATATATAGGACAAAATGGCGTCTTAAATGGCCCCCTTGACCAATTTCAAAAATCCGGCCAAGAGGTGCCCTGCGTATTGGAACTCGGCATGTCACTGCAAATTTTCAAGGAAAAAAAAGGACGTTTAAGGGGCGAAAAGCAGTCTGAAAAAATGATGTCATAGCCGATACGTGTTAGATTCGGGCGGAAACTCGGCGGAATTCGTGTAGTGACCTTTGTTCAAATACGATTTACTCACAATTTTCTGTGTGAACATATAGTATACTTGGTATCATTCGAAAGGGCACTTCATTGCGGTCAGTTTGACACCATTGTTATCTGCGCGCAATGTATTGCACGCATTAAACGCGCTATTACGTAATGCATAGTAAATTCATCATTTTGGGCGATAACTTTGCGCTGACATATTCGAATTTTACCAAACTTGGCAAACAGTTGTCACGTATATGGATACATATATCCGCCAAGTTTCACTGATATAGGTATAAAGATCGCCATTTTAGAGCAAGTTGAAGTTATTTTCGAATTTTCTCGAAAATGGCAATTTTGGAGGGCATTTTTCTCAAATTTGGTCAGTGTTAGGGTATATAATTTTGTATATGGCTGGAAAGGGCATATCTTCAAGTATCTAAATCCAAAAAAGGGTACGGGTTTGCCAAGCCATTATGGAGATACGGCCACAGAGAGAAAGCCAATTCCCAGAACTTTAGAGGGCGCTATTTATGTTGTGCAAAGCCATTGGAGCGTGAAATTTGGCATGGCTATGTGCAATTATGAGATAAAGATAATGTGAGATTAAAACACAAAACGGAATTTATATGAGAAAGTTATGGCAGTTTTAGATTTTTAGGGGTCCATTTTTCAAGAATTTGAGAGATTTTTGACGGAGTCAGTTTCAGATTTCAATTTTGAGTACGAAGATGGCATTTTGAAGGTCAGGTCATACGTCGCAGATGAAAGAACATCTATTAGACTATCTAGAGGAATTTGTTAGAAGTTTGTAGGATCTAGGATAGTGGAGATAGGAAGGAAGACAGAAAGGCCTTAAAATGGACCAAAAACGGACAAAATGGCGCCTGGACGGTTATGCATGAGTGATTTCGAAAATCAAAGAATGTAGTGACCTTGATGAGATGTTAGAGACCATGCCTATGAAATTTGAAAGAAAAAGGACATGAGGAAAGCACCGAACCAGGAATAACAAACACTACGTGCAAAACGAATGCGATTTTCTGACGATAAGGAACAGGAAAAGGAGGAAAAGGAGAATATTAATGGGGCAGAATGTGAACGAAAACAAGGCAATGACGAAGGTCGTCATTGCAATAATAAGTATGTGGGACAGTACAAAACCTCTACGTCCGGGGGTTACGCACCCGAGAGTAATACGTGAATATCCCTAATCACCGTCTATCCTCCGTGCGTGTTCATGTACAGCGCACGGACACAGAACATCGATAATCGACGCAAAGCTAGATATAACGTAGTATCCCCCGGTCGGCGGGTGACGTCTACTCTGATGACCCACGCATATCGGCTGTGTCACCGCTGTTGAATATGTTGGAATGAACATGGTGTTGTATTTACCGTGTTCCTGACCGATATAAAGAACTAAAACAAAGGAAACAGTGATGGTTTGAAAGTTTGTATATTTATCATCACAATGAACTAAATTACTTGTTGATGCAGTAGCGTTTTCATATTTTTTTTTAATGCTGCATATCGTTAAGTTGTTGTGTTTTTTAGACTGTTTTAAATGCTCTTTTTAAAGCATGTTAACGTTAAAAAAATATCTTGATGTTTTGTAAAGATGGATTATTTGGTCTATCCTCTTTATATTGGTACATAAATGAAAAAAATCTATAGAGAAACATTGATGCAATCATAATTTTCATGTACCAATGTTTTCTGCTTATTGTCCGTTTTTACCGTACATAGCTTGCATACGACTTGTATAAATACGTGCGAATTCGCGGGCGCTGCGGACTGACTGAATTTCTTTCAAACTTCGTAGGCATAGCCACTACCATCCCATCAAGGTCACTGTTAAGGCCTTTCTTTCGCCCTACCTATCTCCAATATCACATAAGCTACAGACTTCGTACGAATTGCTCTGGATAGTCCGAGAGAAGCTCTTTCGTTTGACACGTAGAAACATGGCGTCATTGCACGCACATCGTTGTGACACGATTGCATTTCTAGTTGCAATGACGACCCTTCGTCATTGCCTTGTTTTCGTTCACATTCTGCCCCATTAATATTCTCCTCCTTAGTATCGTCAGGAAATCGCATTCGTTTTGCACGTAGTGTTTGTTATTCCTAGTTAGGTGCTTTCCTCATGTCCTTTTCATTTCAAATTTCATAGGCATAGTCTCTAGCATCCCATCAAGGTCACCTACTTTTTCGATTTTCGAAATCACTCATGCATAACCGTCCAGGCGCCATTTTGTCTGTTTCTGGTCCATTTTAAGGCCTTTCTTTCTTCCTTCCTATCTCCACTATCCTAGATCCTACAAACTTCTAACAAATTCCTCTAGATAGTCTAAGAGATGTTCTTTTATCTGCGACGTATAACCTGACCTTTAAAATGCCATCTTCGTACTCAAAAATCAAATCTGAAACCGACTTCGTCAAAAATCTCTCAAGTTCTTGAAAAATTGACCCCTAAATAATCTAAAACTACCAAAACTTTCTCATATAAATTTCGTTTTGTATTTAAATCTCACAGTATCTTTATTTCATAATTGCACATAGCCATGCCGAATTTCACGCTCCAATGGCTTTGCAAAACATAAATAGCGCCCTCTAAAGTTCTTGGAATTGGCTGTCTTTCTGTGGCCGTATCTCCATTTTGGCTTGGCAAATCCGTACCCTTTTTTGGATTTAGATACTTGAAGATATGCCCTTTCCAGCCATATACAAAATTATATATCCTAACACTGACCGACTTTGAGAAAAATGCCCTCCAAATTCGCCATTTTCAAGAAAATTCCAAAATAACTTAAACTTGCTCTAAAAATAGCGATCTTTATCCCTACATCAATGAAACTTGGCACACATTTGTATCCATATACGTGACAACTGTCTGCCAAGTTTGGTAAAATTCGAATATGTCAGCGCAAAGTTATCGCCAAAAATGATGAATTTGCTATGCATTACGTAATAGCGCGTTTGATGCGTGCAGTACATTGCGCGGAGATGATGGTGGTGTCAAACTGACCGCAATGAAGTGCCCTTTCGATTGATACCAAGTATGGTATATGTTCACACGGAAAATTGTGAGTAAATCGCATTTGAACAAAGGTCACTACACGAATTCCGCCCGAATCTAACACGTATCGGCTATGACGTCATTTTTTCAGACTGCTTTTCGCCCCCTAAATGTCCTTTTTTTTCCTTGAAAATTTGCAGTGGCATGCCGAATTCCAATACGCAGGGCACCTTTTGGCCGGATTTTTGAAATTGGTCAAGGGGGCCATTCAAGACGCAATTTTGTTCTATAAATCTATTTTACATCACATGTATTGAAAGGATTATCATAGAAAAAAAAAAGAGTGGTTTACAATAACAACCATGAAATTCTCTTTCTAATGATAC